ATTTCAATTTCGCCATTCCTAATGAGATCAGCATATTGAATAAGTTCGAATGGTTTTACCAATTTTCCTTCCGTCTACTTGTTTGTTTTTTTCGAGCAAAATGGTATGCAAAATTATGAAAGTCGAAAGTCTAACATTTTGGAGATCTCTGAGGTTTCCAAGCATTTCAAAATTGAAATACAAAAAAAAAAGGAGGTTGAGTTTACCTTGGAAATCAATAATACAGCTATCAAAAACTCTAACCTTAACTACCTCAATGAACAAACTCAATTCGATAGTCTTGAATTATTCAACTGCTTATTATTTTAACTACAATAATTCTGTTCTATCTTCTATGTCACTTCGAATCAAAACATTCTTTGGTTTTGACTTGACTGGTGTCATTCTGATATTGTGTTTTGTCCTCAGCGTCATTGTTGTCAATTGTCATTTGTGATTAGTTAACCTAATTCAACAAATTCAGGCCCACATGTCGGTTCATTCTAATATTTGCTTTATATCAAACTATTTTTGAAAACTAAGCTCTTATAGAGCTGTGATAATGTCTGTTCCCTAACAGTAACCCACCTGCACTATGCGCGGTTAAAAATAGTTTTTTCACGTTATTTAAGTAATCTTTTTCCACCAATAATGGTAGGTATATTAGATGTTTTATCAATACTTGAAAACTAACATAATAAGCCTTGTTTCTTCTTACAGATTTTCTTTTTATAAATTTGCTGATGATGAAGGATTAATCCTTCGAAACGTGTCCTTATGTCCATGACCGTTGGTCATTATCAAATTGTTTATGTGGTGGAGTTGTATATGACTGTAAGTTCTTTCACCCCTCCTGATTTATATTACCTCCACTGTAAGTTATGGATCACCTATACGTCTGTTTAATTATATCAATAATTATTGTCGTTACTGGTGAGAAATCTGGCGCCAGAAGAATGAAAAAAAAAAAAAGAAAATCAGTATCAATCAATCTACATTATTCTCATCTCAACTATGAATTCACACTCCAAATCAACAATAATGGAAATTGATAAACAATATCTAATAAAACCAAATGATACCTTACAATAAATATAGTTCCGAAGATTCAGGTGATCCCCCTGAAATTGCAATGGAGAAGAAGTATTCAATGACAAATAATTCGTTATAAACTAGAAAATTAACTGTTAAAATATCAAGTTCCAGTCATTTGAGACAATTTGATGTATCGTACAACCGTTAGTCATAGATCTACTGATTTATTCATCTATTATCTATTATTTTTATAATACAAGTCATTACCGGGGATAAATATAGAGTAGCTGCGTATATAGGTGCTTGTAACGTGGATTCAAAAGTTCAATAACACTCGATCATTACAACGAACGGTCTTGAATTTTCTGTATCTCCACAATGGCTAACAGAAAATTAATTGCTCAATTTGTTGTGGAGTTAAACTACCTGTGATTATTTTCGAGGATGTTGGTATGAAATTGAAGCAGATTTGCATTAGCCAGCCATAATAGTTTTTCTCTCCTATTACGAAAATAATAATGAAAATTTTGAATGGTGTTTTTTTTCTTCAATATTGATCACTTTGGTACTAATATATTGATATATATAGTTATAGGTATATCATGACGCTGATACCAGATTTAACCTTCAGAATTCGTGACCATTTATCGCACGAAGTGCGCACTGATCACATGCTTTTGAAAAGTGTACAGAATATTGATGAATTCTGTTTTTGCTTAAACAGTTCTTGAAATGGCTGGAAGGTAGGTTCAGCTCAAAGTTATGTCTCTCTATACACCAAAAGATAATGCTTAGTAATAATTGTCAAATGTTATCGTTTAATTCGTTTATATATAATTGCATATTCGCATTTATGATTGATGTGGGGTGTTTTTATGGAAAGCATTATACTAATTAGTTTTCTGAATCATCAAATATAGAGGATTCGTTACTGCTAATTTTTTCTCATCTAGAACAAATAGCTTCAATAATAAACAAATCATCCATCACGCCGATATCGAATATCATATCATTTTTTGCTGATTACCAAAAATGATATGATATTTTTTAATTGGTTCATGTATTATTCAGTTTCCAGCAGTCAATAAAGGATTTGTTCATTTCGAATCTGCATATTGACAAAGTACAACTCGTACAAGCTCTATTTTCGTGTAGTCTTTATTTGTTTGTTATGCGTGTTGGCCTTCATCATGGTTCCGTCTTCCATTTAATACCGCCAATACCAAGATGTTCGTTGTAATTTTCTTTTCACATTGTGATGGGTATATCATTTCAACCCACTCTCTACAGGGTGTCTCGTGGCTAGATCGCCATAGCTCAAGGGCATATCCCTTGAACAATTTCAAGTGCCATATACACTTTTGTCTTGAACTCAATAGTTAAGAAGTTATGAGCAATTGAATAACAACTTTGCTCATCAGTATAATGCAAGAGGTGATCCAGTTCTTTAGCCACCGAGGTCACCTGACCACTGCTATTTTTGGGGACCCAAGAAAAGTTAAGTGTATTCATATAAACTACAACCAGAGATGAGCTAATTCGAAATATTATGACTACAGCTGAATCCATGAGACAATCCAGGCACTTTTCGGAGAGCAAAGTTTTCAATAATTAGACGAGCAAGAATGTTGACGCAGGGGACATTTTGAACAAAACCTTGATTCAATTTGTGTATATATACGTACCTAATCAAAACATTTTCAATTGGTAAAATATCACATTACTTTATTCAACATTCTCTTTACTTCATCACACACTCTCTCAAATTCAATTTTGCTCATTACTCCTCAATTATAGAGTTTAAATATATCAGTGCCTGTATGTTAACAGCTGGATATCTATATTTTATTGGTTCTGGTGACTCTTCAATTCGACATCTCATATATGCAAAAATAAAAGACGACAGTGTATCTATCACCCGAGATATCACCAGATTCAGTTCATTCCTGCAAGATGGGTTTTTAATAAAACAATATTGGAAACGTTTGAACGTAACTGTAAACAGTTTCACCCCACTTGCTTCGGATGAGGGTGCATGATATACTTATAAACGAATCTCTCAAAGGCATTAAACCATAGTTAATAAGAATTCAATATAAAGAACACTATTCAATGATCAGTTCTACATACAAGGTTTCAACACAAATGCTTTGGAAAAAACTCTCTTCATTGAAGGTTTGAGAATGTATAATGATCTACCTCTTCTAGTTAAGACATCAGGAAATGTGAGAATTCTCAAAACAAGATTGAGAAAAATGTATTTTATTGTATAGATTATATTGTTTATGTGTGATATTATCGAATGTGTAATATTCATGTATGGTTATGTAATAGCTATCGATGCTAAATAAAGCTCTATTCTATTCTATTCTACTATTTTCACTAAATGAACAAACTTCATAGTTCTAAGAATGATGGATAATTCACCGTTGTCTATTCTCTTCACGGAATGTCATTAGATACAATCTTGTAGTAGTTAAGTGTTGAAGCTACTTAAAAAATCGGCATCTCTATTGGTATCAAATATGGGAAGAATGGAAGAATGTCAACATAATTAATTATATATCGTTGTTAGGCTCTTGGGAAAAATTGGACTTCCTTTGACATCATTTCCAAAGATACTCATAAATTACTTAATTGGCAAAAAATAGTGATATAGTGCCATTCATGTGCATTAATTATGTTGAAAAAAGTTGTTAATTTGAAAATATGAAATACCTACATATTATTTCAACCTATTCATGTGTCTGACTTTCATTTTTCGTGATAATCAAGTTTTCCTTGGATACATAACAATATATGAAAAATATTTGAATAGTATAATTCTGCAGTTTCCTGTGAATCATTGAGTACGAATCATTTCAGAAGAAAGAGTATTGAAACTTCTTGTTACTCCCAACATAAAGCTTTGACAGAGTAATTTTGAATGCTTGATGAATTAGTTTTTGATTGCTGGATTATTAGTCTCACTAGAGAGTGAGGGGATGTTTGGTCTTTTAATTTAGTTCTGCAGTTTCCTGTGAATCATTGAGTACGAATCATTTCAGAAGAAAGAGTATTGAAACTTCTTCTTACTTCCAACATGAAAGCTTTGACAGAGTAATTTTGAATGCTTGATGAATTAGTTTTTGAATGATTGCTGGATTATTTGTCTCACTAGAGAGTGAGGGGATGTTTGGTCTTTTAATTTAGGAACGAGGCATCAAGGTAGGTACGAAAAACAAAATCCAGAAATATTGTATTCCTAGGTTATTCATCAGGAGAAGTTAATAATAAACATTTTTCAAAATTTTAGGAATGTTCCCTTCTTGTCTCAATATACTTATAGATGCTAATTTTAGTGTGATTTCAATATCCTTTGAATTAGGACAATGAAATGATTCTCCACAAAATGTCAATGCGCTTGATATTCTTCTAAGAGAAAACTAAAAGATCTCTCAATATCTCAGCAATTAGTTTAACCAAGTTTGGACCGGT